GGGAAGACAAAACATCACCAACAGCGTACTTGTCTAGGTGACTAATCTGAAGCAAAATTCCAAACTACAAAACAAATGGACTCTTAAAAACATACAGCTGACCCTTGAAAAAGCAGCAGTTAGGGGCACTGCCACCCACCCACCTCACCGTCAAAAATCCACGTGTAACTTTGACTCTCCCAAAACTTAACTACTGATAACATAGTCAATTAACAAATTTTGTATGTTTTATATACTACATGCTATATATATATTTTTTAAGATTTTATTTATTTGAGAGAGAGAGACACAGCGAGAGAAGGAACACAAGCAGGATGAGTGGGAGAGGGAGAAGCAGGCTCTCCGCTGAACAGGGAGCCTGATGCGAGGCTCCATCCCAGGACCCTGGGATCATGACCTGAGCCGAAGGCAGACGCTTAATGACTGAGCCACTCAGGTGCCCCTACATGCTATATTCTTATAATAAAGTAAGCTATATAAAAGAAATGTGATTAAGGAAGTTATAAGAGGGCACCTGGATGGCTCAGTTGGTTAAGTGAATGCCTTCGGCTCAGGTCATGATCCGGAGTCCCGGGATCAAGTCCCGCATCGGGCTCCCTGCTCAGCAAGGAGTCTGCTTCTCCCTCTGGCCCTCCCCCCTCTCATTCTCTCTCTCTCAAATAAATAAAATCTTTAAAAAAAAAGTTATAAGAAAAATACATTTATGGTACTGTACTGTATCGAAAAAAAATCTATGTATAAGTGGACCTGTGCAATTCAAACTGGTGTTGTTCAAGGGTTAACGGTATTTATGTCAGTGTCATGAAATACTTTAAATGAAAGGCTTTAAAAAAGGAACTTAACAAGAAAATACTAAAAAGACTAAATGCAGAGTGTAATCTTGCACTTGATGTTGGACTGAACAAGAAATATAGCTATATAAAGAATATTGCTGGAATAACTTAAAATATTTGAGTAGAATCGTATCTAGAGCTATTTAAAATACACGCTACAAGGGTGCCTGGGTGGCTCAGTTGGTTAAGCAACTGCCTTCGGCTCAGGTCATAATCCTGGAGTCCCGGGATCAAGTCCCACATCAGGCTCCCTGCTCAGCAGGGAGTCTGCTTCTCCCTCTGACCCTCTTCCCTCTCGTGCTCTCTGTCTCTCATTCTCTCTCTCTCAAATAAATAAATAAAATCTTTAAAAATAAATAAATAAATAAATAAATAAATAAATAAATAAATACATCCAAAACAAGATGGGTGGTACACAAAAGTTAAGTGAGTATTTAGAAATTTGTTTAGCCATTTGACAATGTCACGATAGTCAAGACACAATGGGTGGACTCACTGTATTAACCAGAACAGACCGATTTGGGTACTGTCACACTTGCAAGCTGGTCACATGTGACATTAGTGTATTAGTCATGCAAGGTGAGAGGTAATGCATATGATACTTTAGGGTTATTTTATCAAAACCCAAAAATGTGGGCGCCTGGGTGGCTCAGATGGTTAAGCATCCGCCTTCAGCTCAGGTCATGATCCCAGGGTCCTGGGATCGAGTCCCACATCGGGCTCCCTGCTCCTTGGGAGCCTGCTTCTCCCTCTGCCTCTCTCTCTGTCTCTCATGAATAAATAAATAAAATCTTAAAAAAAAAACCCAAAAATGTGATAAAATGTAAGCATTTATTTTTATAAATTATTTTTAACAATCATTTTAATTGTTAACCAAGTGTGACCTTTTAAATTCATATTGTTAACCAAGTGTGACTTTTTAAATTCATAGTTTAAAATTAAGAAAGTAAAATTGGTATTATTTCTTAATCCTAATTTACTGATGGCAAAACGAGCTCACTGGGGGAGCCTGGTTGGCTCAGTCATTAAGCATCTGCCTTCGGCTCGGGTCATGGTGCCAGGGTCCTGGGACTGAGCCCTGCATCAGTGGGGAGGGGCTCCCCGCTCAGTGGGGAGTCTGCTTTTCCCTCTCCCCCTGCCCCTCCCCCTGCCCCTACTCATGCTCCTCTCTCTAAAATAAATCTTTTTTTTTTAAAAAAAGAGCTCACTGTATATTTCTGTAAAGAAAACATCTTTTTCTGAATGCGGCAGTAGCAGCAAACCACATGATGATAATGGAAGTGATTCCAAAGAAACAAAGGCCAACTGAGGTCAAACTGCTTTTACTACATGAGCCCTCACACAGAGTTTGGTTGTTGATCATGCAGTGCTAAAACCATAGTGAGTTAAGTGAGTTCTTTGCAAATGTTTTGGCTAATGAAGCAACGAATTCATCAAAACTTCAATGGCATTTACATACAAAACATGAAGAAATTCAAAATCAAAAGAATTCTTTGAAGAAAAGAGTAGTGATCTAAAAAGCCAATAGAGGGGCACCGGGGTGGCTCAGTTGTTAAGCATCTGCCTTCGGCTCGCTCATGATCCCAGGGTCCTGGGATCGAGCCGTACATCGGGCTCCCTGCTCAGTGGGGAGTCTGCTTTTCCCTCTCCCTCTGCCCCTCCCCCTCTGCTGGTGCTTGGTATCTCTATCAAATAAAATAAAATCTTAAAAAAATAAAAAATAAATAAAAAGCCAAAAGAAAGAGACACAAAATTCCATACATTAACATTAGTATTCTGAGAAAGAAGCACTTTTGGTTGCTAACTAAAAAGAATAAACTACTGCCAAGATATTAGGAAAAGAGTGTATCAAAGATGTCTGCTGGGAAAGCTTGGTGTATCTGTGACAAAGAAGATGATTCAAGTGCAATGTTCCAGTGATTCCGCAGCTTGAAGTCCTCAGAATCTGGCTTATGAGAGTGAGAACGATAATCAAATTAGCAAAATGTTTTCTCGATGCAATTTGAAGAATGCCAGATTATTACTAACATAAAAATTATCATGATATATGTGTGATTTAAACATGACAGTTATATGAAGGATTCTTTTATCAGTTTCTGGCTGACAAACATAACTGACACTGATCTGTAAAAAAAAAACTAGAATTACATTGTCAACAAATGTGATTTGAAGCTTAAGCGTATGCAAGAGTATAGTCTAACAGCACAGGTGCAAGACAGGAAAACATTAGATTAAGGAGCTGGTGCTAGAACGTAAAATTAACACACTGCTTCCTTATCCAGAAAAATCTTGCTGCCAAGACAAACAACCCCACTGTTCTTAGTACAGTAGTAAAAACTGTAAATTATGTAAGACTAATGCATTACATTTTTCAATGACTTTCTATGTGATAAGCTGAAAGCTGACCATAAATGTGCACATGTTACATTGCACGCTGAGGTACCATGGTTATGCAAGGGAAAAATGCCGTTAAGAATGATGAGCTTTAGGGGCGCCTGGGTGGCTCAGTCGTTAAGCATCTACCTTCGGCTCAGGTCATGATCCCAGGTCCTGGGATCGAGCCCCGCATCGGGCTCCTTGCTCTGCGGGAAAGCCTGCTTCTCCCTCTCCCACTCCCCCTGCTTGCATTCCCTCTCTTGCTGTGTCTCTCTGTCAAATAAATAAATAAAATCTTAAAAAAAAAAAAAAAGAATGGTGAGCTTTGGAATAAACTCGGTGTCTTTAAAAGAAAAAAACCATGGGGTGCCTGGGTGGCTTAGTCGGTTAAGTGTCTGCCTTTGGCTCAGGTCATGATCCCAGGGTCCTGGGATTGAGCCCCGCATCGGGCTCCCTGCTTGGCAGGAAGCCTGCTTCTCCCTCTCCCACTCCCCCTGCTTGTGTTCCCTCTCTCGCTTTCTCTCTCTGTGTCAAATAAATAATAAAATCTTAAAAGAAAAAAGAACCAGTTGGGTTCCAATTTTAAAGGTCTTAATTAGTAAAACTTGGCTTATTTGTCTGATCTTTGGTATTTTTTGATTCAACGTGTTTTTCACTAGCAAATAAATTACCAGGGTAAAAATGAAAGCTAGAAGCCTGGAGGAATAGAGTCTCTACAGATTAACATGTTTCAGTGAATGTTTTGAACTCCATTTTATATCAAAAGAATATCCACACACAGGAAATTCATGCATGCAGAATTCCTTGTTTCCACTGAAATCTAACTTAATTACAACTTGACAGGATAAACTGTTGGAACTGGTTACTGATGAAGCACTGAAGAAGAACTTTGAAACTATGGTATCACTGGCTTCATTTTGCATAAAAGTAAAAGTAAAAATCTTGAACTTACTGAAACAGCTTTAAAATCTTTATTTCCATCCTCACGAAAATATCTCTGTGAGATGGGTTTATGATGAGTGTTATTTAAAAAAAAAAGTGTTACTAAAAAAAAAGAAAACCAACACAAATGTACATAAATAAATAAAATCTTTAAAAAAAATTATTGCCAAGGAAAATAAATGTGACTCCCTATAAAATTATTGATTGGCACCTTACCTGTTCCCAGTTAGCTCCAATTTATAGATCTGCTGTTTTCAAGTAATAAAATTTAAATAAATGGAGAAGAGGAAATTCTAGACACATGGCTCTTACCTAGAACAGCCGGGAGGTTATTAAGTGTTTACTGTTTTTTTAAAATGATAACAAACCTATGAATCAATTTTAAAAATAATACTAAGGTCAGGAAATAATACAGGAACCAAATTTCTCTCCTAGTACTTTCAATTTTTACCTGATTTCAGGGGCCTCCGTGGGGCTCAGACTTCACAGGTAAGAAAAGTAATAAAGGGAGAAATGACTCAGCCAAAGTCACAAAGCATGACAATAAGCGGAACCGGATACTTAACTCTTACATTTTCTTATTCTCTTGAAGTCTTCAGAATCTGGCTTATGAGAGTGAGAACTGAGCCAAACACTCATGATACCTACAACTACATCACCGTATGTGAAAGGACCTCTCCTCCCATGCTCCCTGATAATTCACGGGGCCACTGTTTTCCTGGAGTAAAAAAGAGAACTCTTCCACAACATGATGATGATAGGATGGAATGAGGACAGATGGCCCACACCATTTAGAAAGATGCTCATTTTTAAAAGAACTAGTTTTGAAGTTTGTGAAGGTCACCTTACCTGACTTCTTCACCAGCAAAATCAAACACCTTAGTGATTTTAACTTTTTCAGCTTCTTTCGGTTTCTCAAGCTCTTCTGCTCTGACCAACAATTTACTTGAACTTGTCTCTTCAGTCTTCTCTCCTCTCTATGAAATAGGTAAGAAATGCAATCAGTTTCACATGAGGATGAAACCTAAGAGAACCATCCCAACATTCTATTTACAGCTATTCTTAAATGTTTCATCTCTAAACAATTAAAGACCTATCAGAAATTTGACTAGAAAGGCTTACTTTTCCTACCATAGGGAATGCTTTGCTTTTCACTTGAAAGAGTTATTATCAAAAGGCATCTAGTTTGATTTCCGCCGTAAGCATCGAATCTCATTTTGGAAATGAAAACGTCTATCTGGGGAACTTAGGCTATTTCCGGGGAAGCCTACACCTCATTCGACGATCAACTCACGTTAACATGTGTACTTGGGGGCACTTTGGGTTTTGGTCCTACATCGTTGAGGAAGCTGGCCCACAACTCATCCTCCTTCTTCTTCCTCGCATCCTCTGGCCCCGTGCCTTCCTCCTGCTCGGCGGCTTCATCTTCCTGCTCACTGCTACTTCCCTCGGACTCCTCGCTGGCATCCTCCTCCTCTGCTTCTAATGAGAGGCCACCTTGTTTTCTCTTCCTAATCACCAAGGGTCACGAGAGAAAGGAGAGATAAGACAGATAATGCAAAATGACTTCAGCTATCCCTTCCTCAATTCCAAACACAATGCTGCAAACCTGAGAAAACCTTAAAATCTGGGGACTACTGATTAACACCCACCCAGGCGGAAGCAGGGGAGGTGAGCTGAGATTTTGTGGAAGAAAACAAGAATGGAGCTCTTACAGTTAGCAATTTCCCCCAAACACTTAGAATCAAAATATAGTGTTCTACTTCTAAGTCAGGACCAGCTATTTTCACCAAAACACCCAAAATCACCTCGCTGAATCAATCTGCCCAGAAAGTGTGTTCTAAGAATAAGCACTACAATTGGAGAACATGTTCTATTCAGAAGAGCCTCAAATTTATTTGCACTGTTTCTACCCAGAGTTCTTGGGGGGGGGGGGGTGGCGGGAGGGGAGGGAAGGAACCCATGTTTTTTCCCCACTTTCTGAAAATTTGAAAGTTGGAATACAGAAAAACTCAAGGACAAAAGTACTGGGCCCAAGACCTAAAAGAGTAAATAGTTTCTTAGTCTATTTTGACTTCAAGTGAATCCTCTAATACCTAAAATTCTTTTTTCCCTTTTTATAAACTATAACCTGTTTTGCTTCAATGCCCAAAAAAACAGAAACACCGATCAAGGAGAGGTAAAAGACTTCTATGGAAGCGTTTCTTATCTGAGCTAAATAACCTGTCAGAATTTTCATAATGGGGGAGGAGGGTAGTGTAATTCAGTACCAGGTCTATGGAAGGTAATTTGCTAACATTTACGGAAATTTTTTTTACTGCAGATAACTCTGTATCAAACAATTCTACTTCTCTAAATCTGATTTACAGATATACTTGTACCTGTATACAAAACCATAACAAAGAATATTCACTGCAGTTTTGTTTGTTGTAGTAAAGACAGGTATAATCTCAATGTCCCTCAATAAGGGAATACTTAAATAATGCAAGATGTAACCCTATGATGTAACATTATGCAGTCACTGAAAAGGGTAAGGTATAGTTACACGTACGGCCATGGTACACATCTCCAAGAAGTGAAAGAAAATGAGAAACTATAAGCAGAGGATGCCACTCTGTTTTGGAGGGAGTTTTTGGTTTGTTTTTTTAAAGAGTAGGAAATACATACTTACATACACACACAAACTATCTCTGGCAACACAGTTCTTCTGAGGCAAAGCAACAAGGGATATCAAAGGTACACACTTTTGCAGTAAATGAGTTTTTAATTTTTACCAAGTGTACATGATACCTATTAAATTTTTTTTTAAATTAAAGCTCAAAAACTTTTAAAGCTTGCCCAAGACTGAGAATTTAATCCTGAAATGTCACCAAATGTTTCCCTTGAATAGACAAAGGTAGGAAACCCTGGTAGGAAGAACTCATGAGACCAATCCCAGCCATCTGGATAGTGTGACAATAGTCCCTGACTTCTAAGGGCCCTGAGGGCAGCATCACCTGGCCGGAATGCTCTGAGCCTTTCTTTTTTTCCCTTTGGTTTTCTGTGTCTGCTCTTCACCATCCACTTCATCTTCCTTCACTAATTCATTTACATCATCTTCACTATACTCTCCACCTGAAATCACATAATAGAGTGGTCAGACATACAGGAATAAAGGTTTTCACATCAAGATAAGACATTTTCAATAAAAATAAAGTCTAGTACTTTCCTCTATTCTTCATCTAACTAAAATATCATTTCCTTTGGGAAGTCTCCCCATCTCTGAAGACTAGGCTAAGCTACCCTATTCTAGGCTTCCATGACAGTCCATATTTCCCTCTATAAATGTACCTATTTAATGTTTGCAATTTCTGCTATGCTCTACATACCATGAGGACGTGGATCTTGTTTGTTAAGTATGTGCTGAATGAATGAATGAACAGAAATTCTAATTCTACTACTATACTGTTCAAAGAAGAAATTAACGTTCCCACTGTATCTTGGATATCTTTCAAAAGTAATCAAAAGAGACCTTGACAAAAAAGAGACATAAAGACTTCCAGTTAGACACAGGAGAAAGAACAAACATGTCTAGTTCCCATCTTCAGACACTAACATTCAGGGGTCCCCAACAAGAGGGTGTTACCCAGATGCCCAGGATAACTACACTCTGTGGGTACCAGTCAATAAATCCTGTCCACATAGAGATTCAACTAGGTTTTTTCTTTTTTCACTTCATGTAGACTTTTATTTGAAGTGTAACACACACACTGAAGAACACACAATATACAGCTCAATGAAATTACACAAAGTGAACACATTTGTAAAACCAGGCCCGGCTCAAGAACCAGAACGTGAACCAACATCCCAGAAGGCCCCTCATGCCCCGTTCCAGGCATCAGCCACCACCCTATCCAAGAGCTATCCTGACTCCGAATACCACAGATTAGGTTTGTCTCTTTTTGACCCTTAAACAAACAGAAGTCTCCAAAATACACTCTCAAGTGTCTGGCTTTTTTCACTCAACATTCTCTGTTGGTCACCCATATTGCTCATTGTAGCTCTAGTTTATTCACTCTCATTCCAAAATAGCGTTTCATTGCACGACTGTACCACACTGTATTTATCCATTCTGCTGATGAACATTTAGGTTGTTTCCTGTTTGGGGCTATTACAAATAGTACTGTTTTGAATATTCCTGTATATCCAACCAGTTTCTAAATATTTCACTCACAATGAACCAAGGGCCACAAACACTTGAGGAAAGCCTCCAATATGAAAGGCAAGACAGAAAAACAAGAAAGGAATTCAGGGGAAATAGAATTTTAAAAAAAACCCAACAAAACCCTTTATAATTAAATTAAATAGTGACTTAAACATTTTTTAAAAAACTTAAAAATTTTTTAAAAAACTCTTGAAAACTACAAATATGATGGCAGAGATTTAAAAAAAGAACAAAGTTGATGAGAAGGAGCCAGTCATGTGAAAACACACAGAATACACATTCAAGACTGAATACCACAAACCAAGTGATAAATCAAAGTGTTTCCTGAACAAAGGACTGAGTTCCAGGCTAAGATGGCAGTCTGAAGGCACAGATGTCATTTTACTTCCCCTAAAACCCCAGTAAAATCACGGCAGCAAAAAAACTTTTAAAAAGCACAAACCTACAAGCTAAGTAGGCATATAGCTGCATTGTATTTGCTTATATTTGCAAAAAGCAACACTGGAAGGATAAGCAAAATACTAATGAAAATAGGTGCCTTATAAGGGTCAGGGTAGAACAGAGTGGGATAGTCAGGGGTAGAAGCAAGAATTCCCTGTTTATCTTTCCTAAGAATTTTGAAAAGCCCTTAAATTAAGAACAGTTTGAATAAACAAATACTTGTTTGAATAAATAACTGTAAACCCAAACAATAACAAAACTGACAAAGAAAGGATTTATTCCAAGGACTTCAGAAACAGTATTTTGACTATACATCCTTAACAAGACCCATTGTAAAGACAAAAAAGAAATAAAAAACAACTCAATACTCTGTGTAGTAATGTTCGTATTTTGTTGTTTTTTCTTTTTAATTTTATTTATTTATTTGAGAGAGAGAAAGAGAACATGGCGGGGGGAGAGGGAGAAGCAGGGTCCGCACTGAGCAGGGAGCCAGATGTGGAACTCGATCCCAGGACCCTGAGATCATGACCTGAACTGAAGGCAGACTTAACCGACTGAGCCACCCAGGTGCCCAATGCTGGTATTTTGGGAAACTATTTCCTTTATATAACAGGTTAAAGCAAGTAAGTACTATGTTAATCACATCAGGGATCCAGATCTTCAAAGAGAAATGACACACGATTATAAAATCAAAGAAATTAGATGAAAACTCAAATGTTTAAACTGAACTAAAAACATCAATATGAGGGGTGCCTGGCTGGCTCAGTAGGTAGAGCATGCAACTTTTGATCTCAGGGTTGTAAATTCAAGCCCCATGCTGGGTGTAAAGATTACTTAAAAAATCAAATCTTTAAAAAAAAAAAAGTATCAATATGAACTCTTTTTTTTTTTAAGATTTTATTTATTTATTTGAGAGAGCAAGAATGAGAGAGAGAGAGAGCACATGAGAGGGGGGAGGGTCAGAGGGAGAAGGAGCCCGATGCAGAACTCGATCCCGGGACTCCAGGATCATGACCTGAGCCGAAGGCAGTCACTTAACCAACTGAGCCACCCAGGCGCCCGAACTCTAACTCTTTTTAAGATAAATATTTTCTAGTTCTGTTCACTGAAATGGCACAGAAACAATGTCACTTTGGTAGCAATGAGCATCTCTTCAGAGTCCAGATTATATACCTTGATATGATTCATCATGAAAAGGGCTCCCAGCTAATTTCAGGTCTGAGAGAAGGAAAGCACAAGGTGAAACTGGGACATCTTGCTGTGTCAGAAATCAAGGAAGTTATTTAAGTATAAAGGGTCACATTAAAAGGATACAAGATCCAGCTTGAAAGAACTCCTAGTGGCCAAAACCGGTAACTTGAGCATTAAAAGGAATAACTGTTAGTAGACTAAAACACACTGGATCAATAAAAATCTGTAAGCCCTTTGTGACGTTTTTTAAAAAAGACAAAAAATAATTTGTACTGGGGCTCCGGGGTGGCTTAATCAGTTAAGCATCTGCCTTTGGCTCAGGTCATGATCCCAGGGTTCTGGGACTGAGCCCCCTGTCTGGCTCCCTGCTCAGCAGGGAACCTGCTGCTCCCTTTCCCTCTGCCCCTCCCCCTGCTTGTGCTCTCTCTCAAATAAATAATTTTAAAATCTTTAAAAAAATAATTTATACTTCTTAAAGCTACTATTAAAATTACTCCCTACTTTGAAAGTTAGTAATTAAAGAAAATGAATTAAACACTTAACCTTTCCCAATTGATGAAGGAAAGCAATACTTTACAGAAGAACATCAACTAATAAATGTAGAAAAACCACAGAATTAGAAAAATATCACTTTTCACACTGTAATGATAGTAATTTAGGCAAGGGTTATCAAGTAATGTTTTCAAAAAATGAAGTTTTAACCATTAAGTATTACACAGAATACTTCAGTTCTAAGGGAAGAAATTACACAATAGAGGGATCAGACTCTCATCCCCTGAACCCAGTAGTCACAACTATGGGAACCAACCTGGGGTTGCATGTCTTTTGATGTTATGCATTATGAAACACACAGTCATCTATAAGGTATTCTAGCCAAAAATATTTTCATCTGAACCCATCGAGCATTTAGAGCTAACTTCCAGAAATTTCAGAACCTCAGAATTCCAGTAATTTCAGAATTACAGAAAATTCAAAGGACAAAGGAACAACCTAAAATACCGAGAGGGAGCAGTCAGACAAATCCAGAAGGTGAGACATTCTGCAGGACATACCTGCCTGATCTCTTAAGCAAATCAATGTCATTACAGAGCATGCTAGATTAAAACAAATTTAAAGGATGGGACACCTAGATGATATGGGTAGTCCTGAACCTAACGGTGATTTGGATAAACAAGCTATAGTTTATTCTGGGTCAAGTGAAAAATCTGAGTAAGGCCTGTATATGAGTCCAAAGTTTACTGAAATGAACAGAGAGAGATTGTTCACTGAAAAGAGCAGGTCACAAAGTAACATGGAAAAGTATGATTTCAGGTTGGGGTTAAAATACAAGCACCTATACCTGGGTGTAGAAAAAGATCAGAGTTCACTAAAGGATTCACTAAAGGATTAATACTGATAATCTATGGGTAGTGGGAATGCAATGATTCTATTTTTTGATGCTTAACTGTCTGAATTTTCTAATTTTCTACAAAGCTCACACACTACTTTTGTAGTAATATAAGGTTATTTTTCACCATAAAAACAGGCAAATGTTGCAGACAGTTCAGACAAGGATGTAAAAAATGCTCAGTTCCATTGATAAGAGATAAGCAAATTTTATATTATACACATGCACAAAATGATAAAATTCCATACAGTCACTTTGACAAAAAAAGAGTAAGAAGCAAAATAACGTCCCTGTAGATAACAAAGAACAAAATGAACATATCTTATCCAAAGACTCAGAGCTTCCAATCACCTTTTTAGTCCCCCATGCTTAAACATGAGCCAAACAACTAAGAATCACTGAAAATCTGAGAAAGTATCTAATAAAACCAAAATATAGGGTGAATAAAAATCATCTTGGAGAAATGTTTCCTCATGTCATGAGGCTAGCAGTATCTGATACTAAAACAAAACAAGGCAATTACAAGACAACTACAGACCAACATCCCTCATATACAGATGCAAAAATTCTCAACAAAATACTAGCAAACAAAATTCAGCAATGTATAAAAAGATGTTATTATTTATTTTGAAGGGGGAGAGCGGGTAAGCAGTAGGAGGAGCAGAGGAGGGAGAAGGGGAAGGCGGAAAGAATCTCAAGCAGACTCCATGCTGAGCGTGGAACCCAATGTGGGGCTGGATCTCACAACCCTGAGATCATGACCTGAGCCGAAATCAAGAGTTGGACACTTAATCGACTAAGCCACCCAGGCGCCCCAGCAATGTATAAAAAGAACAATACAGCACGACCAAATGAGTTTTATCCCAAAAATAAAAGGCTGTTCAAAATTTAAAAAGCAATCACTGTAATTCACCATATTAAGAGGAAGAAAAATCATACAAAATCCTATAAATAGATGGAGGAAAAGCATTTGACAAAATTTGCCTCTCAGCAAATCAGGAGTAAAGGGAACATCTTTAACCTGATAAAATGCATGGGTGAGGAGCAGTATACGCAGACTGCCAGGGTTCAAATCCCAGCTCAGCTACTCTATAGCTGAATGATTTTGTGCAACTTGCTTTAATTCTCTGTGCCTCAATTTCTTTGTCAGCAAAATGGGGAGAATAGCACATAAGTGAGTGAGCTAGTAATGTATTAGTCAATGTAAAGGACTTAAAACATGCACACACAAAAGGCATCTGTAACCCATAGCTAACATACTAAATAGTGAAACACTGATAATTTCCTCTTAGGGCACCTGGATGGCTCAGATGGTTAAGCGACTGCCTTCGGCTCAGGTCATGATCCTGGAGTCCCAGGATCGAGTCCCGCATCAGACTCCCTGCTCAGCAGGGAGTCTGCTTCTCCCTCGGACCCTGCCCCCTCTCATGCTCTCTCTATCTCATTCTCTCTAATAAATAAATAAAATCTTTAAAAAAAAATTTCCTCTTAAAATTGGCAACAAGGCAAGGATGTCCACTCTCATCACTCCTATTCAACATCATACTGGAAGTCTTACCAAGAGCAGTGAAGCAAGCAAAAGAAACAAAAGGCATACTTATTGGAAAAGAAAGAATAAAACTGTTTCTATTCAGACATCATGGTCTATGTTTTATTTGGGGGGGTGGCCTTGGAACTGTTAATTTTGGTGATGGTCACTTAACTCTAAGCATTTATCAAAACTGATAGAACAGTACACTGAAAAGAATAAATTATACTGTATGTAAGTTAAACATTGAAAAATTTAAATTATTATTAATATCCATAGAGCAGTAAGATACTTCACTATGAAATGAGAACATGATGCTACAAAAAATGACTACTTAAGGGGAAAAAAAAGTTATTCAAATTTAAAAATACAAGAGTTGAAGATATTGAGAATTTTCCATTGAGTGGAAAAAAGTCAAGAGTCAGAAAATAGGATGATAAAATTAGAGGGCCAGTCCAAAAGATCTAACGTAAGATTCAACATCTGAATAATGAGGTTTCCAGAAAAATAACAGAAAATGAAAAAAGGAAATTACCTCTCCCCAAAAGTTCCAGAAACCTACCACAATGGATGAGAACAGACTCATACCACGGTGTATCATTGTAAAATATCAGAAAAATCAGGAATAGAGAGAAGATTCTATCAGCTTCCAAAGACAAACAGATCTTATATAAATAAACAGAAATCAGCAAAACAAACTTCTTAATAGAAACACTGGAAGCTAGCAAGTAATAAAACAACATCCTTAACATTCTGATGGAAAGCTATCATTACCACTACCATATCATTATAAAGCCTAGAATTATTATTACAAAACACAGAATTCTATACCAGACAAAGTATCAATTATGCCCTGGGGTCACACAGTTATTTTTAGAAATACTGTTTTGACACCTTGAATGTCTATTATACATCATCTGTCCTCGAGTAGTTGAGAATTTATTCTCATTTTGGTGGAACACACCAAGAAAAAAACATAACACAGGACCCAAGAAACGGATTCCAACAGAAAAGGGAGATAAATGGAACACCCAGAGTGGTGATGGTGACAAAAGATCCTAGGTTTAAAAGTGATAAAACCGCAAACTGGAGGTCAGAAGGCAAAGACTGGACTTCAACATGAAAGTAAACGACTCTTTCATGAATCTGATTGCCTTGGGAGATAATTCATACAATTCTGAGAGTTTAGGGACAAATTAATAGTAAGAACATAGACAACTAAGCAACGACAAAATGGCAATTATTAATTCCACACAAAACAAGTAGTGTAGGAAAAGCAATCACAGTATACGCCACATGGTTCAGACCTGAATGTGTGCATTACAAAAAAGTAAACTTGGAATACTGATCTAACCAAAACTGGACATGGTAACAATGGCAGGCTGGGGAGTTGTGGGGAGGGCCTGAGGGTGGAAGGGTGTGTGTTGGGAATGATCGGGATGACCTAAGAGGGTATTAAAATAAGACCTACCAGGCATGGGTTAAGTCAACATAAAACGAAAATTCCAAGTTAAAAAAGTGGAAAGCAGTTTCTCCTGAGGAGGAATGAACAAGGATGCAGGGTGATGGGAACTGTTAGTTTTCAAAACAAGGCTTTTAGAAATAACTGACCATTTTTTTTTAAAGATTTATTTACTCATTTTAGAGATGGAGGGAGGGTCAAAGAGCATCTTAAGCAGGCTCCACCCCTAGCATGGCGCCCAACCTTGGCTCAATCTCACCATCCTTGAGATCACGACCGGAGCCAAAATCAAGAGTCCCACCCTTAACGGACGGAGCCACCCAGGCGCCCCTGACTATGTTTCAGTATGGGTATGCACAACTTTGATTAAAATGAAAACTAGTTTTCAAATAACCACTCTGGCCGTTACCATAAGATCAAGGTTGGTGGACAAGAATGGAAAGGGAACCAGGGAAACCAGTTGGCAAACTATGGCTAATCCCAGTGAAGAAGAATGGCAGTTGAGTAACAGGGAGATTGACAAGGAAGCGGTCAGAAACCGATTTCCCAATTAGACACAACAGAACCTACCAACTGCTTGAACCAAAAGAGAGAAAATAAGAATGAATGATTCCTAGGGGTTTGGTTTTGTTTTTCCCCTGAGCGACCGTATGGATGGATACTTTAAACGAGATGGATAGCCTGGGGAAGGCGCACGATAGCGGAAGGGGTAGCTTTGAGTGACAAGATTTATTTTGGCCCCCTTTAGTTTGAGAAACTTATACCAAAGAGAGAGAGAGAGATACCTGAAAAAAGAGGAATAAGTACACGTCGCAAAGAGACAAAATGCATCATCACATGAACTTTCTAATAACCATGCGAGGGCATACAGTGGATAGATTTATCTTGGACGTGGTGCTAGCGAGCAAGTCCCTCGGGTCAACGTCCAACGCTCACACTGCCTTTCAGAAGACTGGGGCGCTGGTGCAGTCGGTCCGGGTACCGACACCGACAGCATCCCCAGAGCAGGGCCATGTTCACTTGCGGGTTCCCGCGCTCCGAGAGGGGGCGGCGGCCCGAGGCAGGCCGCGGGCGTCGGCTGCGCGACATCCCCCCGCGCACACGTCTCGGCCCGGGGCGACCGCGCGGACGGAGCAGGCGGGCGAGGAACCGGGGCTTGCCCGGCTGGGTCGCTCGAGACCCGCGCCTCCGGGGCCACCGGGCCACGCACGCCGGGCCAAGCGCGCCTCACGTGAAGCGCGGGGCGGAGCAAGCCTCCTCTCGCCTCCGGCCGAATCGCTCACCCGACGGCACGTAGTCTTCGTCCTCCTCCGAGGTGGAGAAGTCTTCAGAGTCGAATTCCTCCATGTCGCTGCCGCGCGGAGCGGGTGCAGCCACAGGACCTGAGCAGCTGCCCCAAACGGCAGAGCTCTACGGAGAGACCATAGAGCTGCGGCGGGGGCGGCGGGGGCGGCTTGGTCGGGGCCCCCACCGCGCAACGTGTGCGCATGCGCAGAGAGTGCTACGTAGTCCAAACGCGACATTTCCGAGCCAATGCCTCGCGCCTGACGGTACTGTAGTGGTTGACAGAGCATGGGCTCCGCCGCTGGAGCGGTGCATGCTGGAACTTGTAGTCTTCAGCACCGTCTGGTCGCTCTGATTTGATAAATGTGCTTAAACAGAATTACATGTCTATGCGGCTACAGCTGACCTTCGTTATTCACAGGTTGGTATTTTCGAATTCGCTTACTTGTTTAGACTTAATGTAACCCCAAAAATCAATATTCGCGGTGCTTTCTGGGGTTATTCGCGGACATGCGCAGAGGGTGAAACTCTTGAGGCAACCAACGGTGCGGTGTACTTGCTGAGGTTGAACAAGGCCGACACAATGGGCTTTCTTGCTTCGTCTGTCATGCTGTAAATAATTGTCCTTTTCGCAGTCTATTCAGGGGCATGTTTTTTGCATTTTTGTGCTTTTTGGTGGTGATTTCGCTGTTTAAAATGACCCCCAAGCGTAGTGGGGAAGTGCTGCCTCGTGCTCCTAAGCGCAAGAAGGTTGTGATGTGCCTTATGGAGAAAATACGTGTGTTAGATAAACTTCGTTCAGGCGTGAGTTGTAGTGCTGTTGGCTGTGAGTTCAATGTTAATGAATCAACAATCCGGTACATCAAGAAAAAGGAAAAGGAAATTCGCCGATCTGTACGTGAGGCTGCTCCGGAAAGTGCTAAAGTAACGTCTATAGTGCGCGAGGAAGCAATGGAAAAGATGGAAAAGCGGCTAAATTTATGGATTCATGAGATGACAACCGATAAAAAAGGTGTGGTGGACAGCATTGTCGTGAGGCTGAAAGCCAAAGAAATTTATGGTCATGTTACCCAGGGCCAGAAAAATGTTAAACCTTTCTCCGCTAGCGCTGGCTGGCTTGCACGTTTCAAAAAGCGGTATGGTGTGAACAATGTTAAACTTGCAGGTGAGGCAAGTTGTGCAGATCAGGAGGCTGCAGAAGAGTTTAAAAAATACTTGCTGAGTGTTATACAGGAGAAAGGATATGTGGAAGAGCAGGTTTTCAGTGCTGATGAGACTGGCTTATTTTACAAGGACGTTGGCAAAAGAACCTATGTAACGCAAATGGCCTGCAAAGCCCCTGGCTTTAAATCATTCCAAGACTATGCAACCTTGCTCTTGTGTACCAATGCCAAGGGCGACTTCAAGTGCAAACCCCTAATGGTGTACAGAGCCCAGAATCCACCAGCACTGACAGGGAAAAGCGTGAACCATATGCCAGTCCATTGGAGGTGGAGCAAAAAAGCGTGGATGACATCTGATTGGTTCCATAACTGCTTCATACCGGAAGTTGAATGCTATCTCCAGGGCAGAAACCTTTCCTTCAAGGTTTTATTAATTTTGGCTAATGCCCCGGTCCATTGCTGTGAAGAACTCAAAAATGCCCACCCCAACGTAGAAGTTCTTTTCATGCCCCCAAACACTACGTCTCAAATCCAACCCCTGCATCAGGGGATAATAAAAGCTTTCAAGGCACACTATACCAGGGAGCTTTATAGCAAGGCATTTGAGGCTCTCGAGTCCAACACGGAGACTACCATGTTGGACTATTGGAAGTCAGTCACTCTGCGCAACGTTATTGATTATGTTGGGACAGCCTGGGACAGCATCAAACAAGCTACCATCAATAGCTGTTGGAAAAATGTTTGGCCAGACTGTGTGCAAGATTTTGAAGGTGTTACAGAAAGTATAAAGGACAGTGTCAAAAACATAATGCACATTGCACGGCAAATAAGTGGGGAAGGCTTTGATGACATGAAGGAGGAAGACGTGGAAGAAATTCTGGCGGAAAAGGCAGTAGAACCCACCAACGAAGACCTGGATGAGATGGCAAAACAAGGCATTGGAGTCGGCAATGACAAAGACGACCATGAAAGCCAGCTTACAGCTTCAAGAATTGACCCTCTTACAGTGACTAAAATATCAGAATGGAATTCTGCCTTGTTAAGAATTTTCAATGACATGGAAGAGTGTGACCCTATGCTCGATCGCAGCCTCAAATTTAAGCGCCTCACCTCCATGGCATTTGCCCCTTATTCCAAGATGCTTAAAGATTTGAGGCAAAAAGCCAAGCAGAGGAGGCTGACCCAATTTTTCAAGCCGGTTTGGGAGGGAAAGTTGCCGACTCCGTCAACAAGTCTTGAGAGGCAAACTCCTGAGGTTGAACTGCCAAATGTGGACATGCTGCCCTCTTCCTCTCCTGCAGAATAAATTCCACCTACCTCTTCCTTGGTTTTCGTGAGGCAAGCCAAGGTCGAGAGGTTTACCCACACTGTGCTGCACCATCAGACATCCTGCCGTTCCGTCAACAGTAAGATTCTAGTTAACGTTTTCATGAAATCTCTGATTTCTTTGGGGGCTCTATGTGCATTACTGTGTGGCATAACAATATGTGTTCACAGTACTCTGTGTTTATGTGAATATCGTATGTTATCCTGTGTGTTTACTACATGTACTATATACGTGTACTGCCTGTGTGCATATGACTGGGGGAAAGAGTTAATACAGCTGCAGTATTGTGAAGGACATTACACAAAAATGCTGTAATTGAAATAGTTTTATTATGAATACTGCACATAACTATTGTAAGAAAGATATATTTAAAAAGGTGTCTTTGGGCACCTGGCTGGCTCAGTTGGTTAAGCGACTGCCTTCGGCTTGGGTCATGGTCTCAGGGTCCTGGGATCGAGCCCCGCATCGGGCTCCCTGCTCGGCAGGAAGCCTGCTTCTCCCTCTCCCACTCCCCCTGCTTGTGTTCCCTCTCTTGCTGTCTCTCTCTCTCTGTCAAATAAATAAATAAAATCTTAAAAAAAAAGAAAAAAGGTGTCTTTGAACAGAAACACACATAAAACAAGATTATGTATTGATCAGTTGACAAAAGTATTGTGAGCAGAGACTCGCAGGAACCCAACCCTGTATTTCCCCCAATAGTGGTTCAGTGTTCGATAATTGATTGTGCACGGTGACTTTAGAGACGTAACTACTGTCAACAGGAATCGACTGCATTCTAGAATTCAGACATCCGCACGAATCCTTCAAGTGAATCCATATGGAAGTACAGCCGCATACAATCTTTATGATTTTACCAGACTAAAATGTTTTCAGTTATAATCCAGTTATGGGAGGCAGTAATCAGAAACAAATGCGGAGGAAGCATCAACAATTAACATCCTCTTTTTTCAGGTTTATGTTTTTTTCCAGCTGAAAATTGCTCCTCGTTGATACTCTGGACTAGACTGGGTCTGACTGACCCAGTCCTACAGTTAATCTAAATTAAGAAAGAGATGAACACACATTTGTGATTAAAAGGACATTACTGTGGCAGTATGCCAGCAAACTTCTAAAAACAGCCTAATTGAAATATAATTCACATAAAATATACCCGTTTAGAGTACACAATGCAGTAGTTCTGGTAAATTCACAGACTTGTGCAACTATCACACCAAAAATGAGCTCCTTACCCATTTCTCCCCAATCCCCAGCCTCAGGCTTAATCTTTCTGTCTCTATAGATTTGCCTATTCTGGACTTTTCATATAAATGGTATTATACAATATGTGGCCTTTTGGGATTGTCTTCTTTCACATCTTCAGAGTTAATTTCTCTTGGATATATACCTGCGGAGTTTCTTTTTTTTTTTTTTTAAAGATTTTATTTATTTATTTGACAGAGAAAGACAGCGAGAGCAGGAACACAGCAGGGGGAGTGGGAGAGGGAGAAGCAGGCTTCCCGCTGAGCGGGGAGCCCGATGTGGGACTCGATTCCAGGACCCTGGGATCATGACCTGAGCGAAGGCAGATGCTTAACGACTGAGCCACCCAGGCGCCCACCTGCGAAGTTTCTTGATCATATAGTAATTCTGTGCTTTACCTTTCGAGGAAAACTGCCAAATTGCTTCCCAAAGCAGCTGTGCCATTTTACATCCTCAGCAGCAATATATGAAGGTTTCAGTTTCTGCACACCTTGGCAAAACTCTCGTCTCTTTGATTAAAGCCATCCTAGTGGGTGGGATGCAGCATTTCATCGTATTTTTGATTTGCACTTCCCTGTTCAATAACGATGTTAAGCATCTTTTCTTGTCTTTATTGGCCATGGTGTATGTTCTTCGGAGAATGTCTATCCACATCCTTTGCCCATTTTAAAATCAGGTTATTTGTCTTTTTATGGTTGAGTTGTTAAGAGTTCTTTATATATTCTGAATACCAGTCTCATAAAACATAGGCCTTGAAAATATTTCCTCCTATTGTGTGCCATCACTCTCTTGATGGCATCCTTTGAAGCATAACATTTTCATTTTGATGAAGCCCAATTTATCTATTTTTCTCTTGTCCCTGGTGCTTCTGGGCTTCTATCTAAGAAGGCTTTGCCTAACTCAAGATCACAAAATTTAACTCCTGTTTTAAAGTTTTATAGTTTTAGTTTGTGCATTTACATCTATGATCCATTTCAGTAGATCTTCCTTATGGGAGAATAGAAAAATAGATGTGAAGTTAGGACCCGATATTTGGAAGTTTAACATGCTCAGCCTTTTCCCTTGGACAGGGTAAGTGGTACCTGCAGTGACAAACCAGGACGTAGACTTTTGCCCCATCAGTGGGGTCCACGCCTGGGGAAAAGGACGCGCTGGGGTTCTCTAGCAGACTTTCTCCTCCAGCGTCATCTCATTTCTCCCAGTCTCATCTTTACAGCTCACTAGCACTCCATACATTTGTTCAAATTTACAAAGTTTCTAACCACTTTAAGGATAACCAGGGTAGGAACTATTTTCCATTTTTTCAAATAACTTAATGAAGAGGCCAACTGCAGCTCAAAGGCATGCGTTGTTTGACCTGAAAAGCGTTTATGAATTCAAATTAGTTGCACTTAAAAATATAGATTTCAAATAATCTAGATTTGCAACTTCCCTTGAAAAACTGGAAAATCTGGCTATT